CCTTGAGGGAAAGGACCATCTTTTTTTTGTTTCTTTGTATCCCCAATGCTTAGTTTAGCACTTGGTACATAGTAGGCACTTAATAAGTACTAACTGACTAAGATCAATTCTTCTTATACTTCTCACACTCTTGCTCCAAAAGAAGCCTGACTCTCTCTTGAAGGCACATCGTCCTTGTCCAACCATAGCAATCCTGGATGTAGCATCTCTCATATCTACCTTCTCTGACATACTGGGCCAGAGAGAGGAGGAGGAGGCATACTCCTTGTTCCACACTGCCATTTCCAGTGTGTAGGTGGGTCATTGTCTTTGAAGAGAACCAAAATGACATCACAATGTCAGGGTCAAAGTACAGTGTATCTGACTATGGCTGACGAGGCCAACAGGAGCTCAGAAGGCTCTACCAGAAGTTGGGCACAAATAGTCCATCTGAGCACTTGGGAGGGAGGTGTCTAAATCTGTGCATCTCACATTTCTTTTGAGCTATAGCAATTCTTCTTTGCTCACAGAGCATAGTACCTTATTTGATGCAGGTATACCATACTGGGCAGTCCTGGGTCAGTGTCTCCCAATTGATACCAAAGTTCTTCAGAGAGACCTTGAGGGGCGTCCTTGCATCATTTCTTCTGACCTCTGTGTGAGTGCTTGCCTTGTGTGAGCTCTCTGTAAAATAATCTTTTAGGCAAATGGGCATTTGGCATTCGAACAACATGGCCAGCCCACTTCCAGACCTTTCCTCTGTCACCATTACTCAACAATTCTTCTCTTTGGAGAGTTCCTTCATCCATTTATATAATCAGGTCTATATCTGCTGGCCTCTCAATTATTCTTTCTCTTTTCTAAAGGAATTCAGTACCTAGTTCACAGTCTCACTTCCTACTCCAATCTCTCCCTTTACCCTTGGGGAATTTAATATTCAAGTTGTTACTGTCTCAAAACAACCTGGTTTTCCAATTAATTGACCTCCTCAACTCCCACAACCTTCATCTCCACTCTACCTTATCCTCCCAAAGGGGTGGTCACATGAAAAACCTTCACCTCAAATCATTCCATCTTCATGATCTTGAATTTTGAAGTTCTTCTCCTTTATCATAATCTGAGCTTCCATATCTCTATTTGCCTTCCTCTGTGTAAATCTATTTTTACCCTTACTATTGAATCTACTTCTGACTCTATAGGTGAATAGCTTTCCCAGCTTGACTATGTCTTCACCTCTGTGGCCCCTCCTCAGATTGGTGAGATCCTGCTTAACATTACTATTTCATGAAGAGCCTGGACTATCCATGTTCACTTCTCTCCTGGCTCTGTTTCTTTCTTTTTTTCTTTCTTTCTTTTTTTTTAATTAGGCCACTGGGGTTAAGTGACTTGCCCGGGGTCACACAGCTAGTATGTGTCAAATGTTTGGTCTGAGGTCAGATTTGAACTCAGGTCCTCCTGACTTCAGGGCTGGTGCTCTATCCACTATGCCACCTAGCTGCCCCTCTGGCTCTGTTTCTGACTCTCCAGATGTCTCTGCCTTGTCACCATGTGGTAATCTGGTAATTTTCCCCTGCTGTGGGCACCCTCTCCCATGCTGCCTCTACTTTCCAGTTCCCTTTTATGTGTGTCTTCCCCTACTAGAATGTAAACTTCTTGAGGGTAGGAACTATCTTTTTTTTTGGCTTCTATTTGTATTCCAGTGTTTATAGCACCATTCTTGGCACATAGTAAACACTTAAGGATGTTCTCTCTGTCTCTCTCTTTCTTTTTCTCCTTTTGCCCAGACCATAGTAATAACCTTTCAATTGGTTTTTCCAATTTCAACCTTCCCCTTCTCCAATCCATTCTTTACAAATTCCCAAAGTAATCATCCCAGGGCATGACTCTGAGCCTGCTATTCTGTTTGAAACTCTTCAGTGGCTTCTTGTTGCATATAAGATGAAATGCAAATTCCTCGGCCAGGCTAGAGAGGAGGGTGGCTGTGCAGTGGATAGAGCACTGGCCCTGGAGTCAGGAGGACCTGAGTTCAAATCTGACCTCGCACACTTGACACTTAGTAGCTGTGTAACCCTGGGCAAGTCACTTAACCCCATTGCCAACCCCCCCCCAAAAAAAAAGGCAAAAAAGATAAAATGTACAAAAATAGTAATAGCAGCTCTTTTTGTAGTAATCCCAAACTGGAAACTAAGGGGATGCCCATTGAAAGCATCTCCAGGGGAATGGCTAGCCGAGTTATAGTATATGGATGTAATGGAATATATTTGTGTCAAAAGAAATGATGAAATGGAAAATTTCAGTGGAAACTGGGAAGTGCTCTGTGAAGTAGTACAGAGTGAAATGAGAAGAACCAGAATAGTTTATACAATTATAACATTTAGAGAAAGACAACTTTCAAAGACTTTAGAATGGCAATTAATGCAATGATAAAGCACCACAAGTGCAAATGGGGAAGGCGAGGGAAGGGAATAAGCATTTTTATAGTACTTAATATGTGCCAGGCACTGTACTAATATTTTACAAATATTATCTCATTTGATTCTGAAAACAACCATGTGAAGTAGGTGCAACTATCATCCCCATTTTACAGTTGAGGAAATTGAGGCAAATAGAGGTCAAGTAACTTGCCCAAGGTCACAGAATAAGTGTCTAAGGCCAGAATTAAACTAAAGTTTTCCTGACTCCAGGCTCAGTGTGCCACTTAGCTGCCTTGGAAAAGGACAGAGGACAGAAGATGAAACTTGTGCCACTCAGCTCCTGCCAGAATTGATGGACTTCAAATGAACAAGACCTGCATTTTTGGACATGGCCAATGTGGGAATTTGTTTTGCTGTACTGTGCATATTTGTCATGAGGGTTTTATTTTTCATTTTAAAAAGCATTCTTTTTTAAAGGGGGCAGTGGCAAGCAGAAATAATAAACGCTTATAAAAATAAATTTAAAAATTTAAAACAGTAAGCAATCAATAAACATTTGTTAAGTGCCTGCATGCTAGGCACTGTGTTAAACATACAAAGAAAGGTAATACAAAGGTGATACAAAGAAAGGTAAGACAATCCTTGCTGTCAAGGGGCTCACAATCTAATGTGGGAGACAACGGGAAAACAACTATGTACACAGATGCTACATACAAGGTAAATCGGAAATAATCAATAGAGGGAAGGCACTAGAGTTAAGGGGGAATCAGCAAAGGCTTCCTGTAGCAGGCAGAGTTTTAGCTGGAACTTGAAGGAAATCAGGAAAGCCAGCAGATGGATATGAGGAGAGAGAGAACACCAGGCATGGGGAACAGGCAGTGAAAATGCCCAGAGTCAAGAGATGGAGTATCTTGTTTGTGGAACAGCAGGGAGGCCAGCGGATCACTGTATACATGTTCGGAGGGTGGAGAAGGAAAGGTCAGAAGATAGGAAAGGAGGGAGAGGGTCAGGTTATCGAGGGATTTTAAAACCAAACAAAGGATTTTGTATTTGATCCCAGAGTTAATAAGGAGCCACTGGAGTTAATTGCATAGATACGGTCAGATTTGGACTTTAGGAAGGTCACTTTGACAGTTGAGTAAAGGACGGACTGGAGTAGGGAGAGATTTGATTCAGGGAAATCAGTCAGCAGCCAGTTGGAATAGTCAGGGCATGAGGTGATGAGGCCTTGCACCAGGGTGGTGGTAGGATCAGAGAAGAGAAACACTGAGTCAAAGTTCAAATCTGTCTTCTGATTCCAAACCCAGTCCTTTTCCCATTAGCAATCAATCAATATTTAATCAATATCAATCAAATCAATAAACATTTATCAAGCTCCTACTATGTGTCAGTAACTGTGCTAAGTGCTGGAGATGCAAAAAGAAGGAAAAGATAGTCCCTGCCCTCACTGAGTTTACAGTCTAACGTAGGAGGTGACATGGAAACAGCTATCTACAAACAATCTGTATACAGCATAAAAAATAGGAAATAATTAACAGGGAAAGCACTGAAATAAAGAGGGGTTTGCGGAAGGTTTCTGAGTTCCAGTCAAACTGGATCACTTGTTCTCCAGACTCCTGTCTCCCTTCATCTGACCAAGTAGTCCTCCTGCCTGGGACTAACCAATTCCTCTCCTCCCACCCCTGCCCTCACACACATCCTCTTCTTCATCTTTGCCTCAAGAATCCTTATCATCCTTTGGGGTTCAGCTCAGGTCCCAGGCTCTTTGCAAAGCTTCCCAAACCTCCCCCACTCCCTAGTGCTTGTTCCTTCCTCAAGTTATCTTGATACAAGTTATCCTGTATTTATTTGCCTACATTTGGGGGATTGGGGTGGAACCTGGACTTGTAATTTCATTGTTTTGGGAAACTCCCCGCACTGGGGCAGATTGTCGGCCCCTTATAGTCATAAAGAGTTGCTTGCAAGATCACTCCAGTAGTTTGCGTCATTTGCAGGGTTTGAACCCAGTCTTTCCTGACTCCAAGGCCAGCCTTCCGAGTAACAGACCAGGATGCCTCTCGTTTTGCCTATAGGCTTATTAAAAGTCGATTTGCACTGAAATGTTACCTCCTCTATGAAGCTGTCTCAAAGCCCACCCCACAGCAGTTAAACAACCTTCCGCCTCAGGCTTCACATGGCTTTCCCCCACCCTCCTGCACCTCTCCAACGCACTTATTATATAGTGAATTATTTGGTAGTTTATCGTGTGTGTCTTTTTAGTGCGGATCTGTGATTATTCGGGTGTCAGAAATGCCGTCCACGGATACAGGTCAACACCCCCTCTCTAAAACAAAACTGGAAGGGACCTCTCAAAGGTGTGTCAGTAACGGACCCCATCTTATCTAGGTTTGGGTCTCAGTACACAAGGAGAGCTTAACAAATGCTGGCTGCAGAAGCTCAGCCCCTCCTCGCAGAGCCTAGAGCTCCAAAGACGCAGCCACCACCTGGACGCTCGGATGAGGAATAACGAAGCTCCTTCTCATTGCTTGGGAGAGTGGGGACGTTCCAGAAGGCCTCCGCCCCCCTCCCTCGGCCTCCCATTGGCTAGCCTTGCCCGGATCCTCGGGAGAAGCGCGGAGCCTCTCGGGAGTTGTAGTTCTGGGTGCGGGAGATGTTGGTAGAGGTTACCCAGAAAGGTCCCCCTCCCACAACCTTTTAACCTTTGACCTCAGCGACCCTGGGCCTCCCCTTCCCCTACCAGGCCTAAATACGTTATTGCAGTGCGCCGGAGAAGCAGAAGCAGAAGCTGCCGCCCAGGGCCAGGTAAGGTGGACCTTGTGCTGCTCTCCCTGAGGCTGGGGAAGGGAAGACGAGAGAGCCGGCTGCCCTGTGCCCCCGCCCCCTGCCTCCGCCCCATACCTCTGCCCTCTCCCCCTGCCCCATGTCTCGGCTCCCACCTCGTGCGCTTGCCTTATCCCCCTGCAGGCACCCCATGCACTTGCCCCATGACCCCGCCCCCACCCCATGCCTTTGCCTTATGCCCCCGCCCCGAACCTTTGCCCCAATACCCCGCGTCTGCCTTTTGCTCCTTCCACTCTCCCCTGCCCCATACCCCCTCTTTCACCCCAAGTTTGAATTGTCAGCCGTGAAACCCCAAGAGGCCAGGCTCTTGGCTTGCCCTCCTCACGTTTCCCTTTCCCCTGGAGGGGAGGCCGGACTGCTGGGTATGATCGATTGAACCCACTCCACGGAGGTGGGGGTCGGTGTAGGGAAGTGGGGCTTTGAAGATCTGGGTTCGGATCCATTCCCTGATCCTAGCTGTATTGTATGATTATGGGCAAGTCACTTAACCTCCCTGGGCCTCCCTTGTAAAACATGAGGCAGTGCGGCGTCCTGGATAGAGGGCTGGCCTCAGGGTCAGGAAGACTTGGATTGTAGTGTGACTCCCGCTGGTTGGGTGATCCAGGCCAATTTATGTAGCCTCTCAGTGCTCCCCCAGGCAATTCTTTAAGACCATAAGTTACAAAGAAAGTGCAGACCTTCATTGGTAGAGGAAGTTCCTAGTATGATGAAATTATAGGTCCAGTTAAAACAAATTGTGTAGCGATCACAGGGTTGTTGTGAAGCTCAAATGAGATAATGTATATAACACACTTAGCAAACCTTAAAGAACTATATAAATGTCAATTATCATAGGATTTAAAGTGGGAGGGGACGTCAGGGAAAAGGTGAGTGTTCCGGAGGAGATGGCTGAAGAAATGGAAAGGGCTGAGGAAGATGAAGGTATAGGGCTGAAAAAGGAAGTAAACAAGAAGAGATTTAGGCCTCCAGAAGACATCCAAGAATGGTTGCTTTTAACTTTGGACTTTTATCGTGACCTTGGGTAGCAAATAATTTTATTTTATCCCAGGACTTTGAACAAGGTTTCCCATCCGTGTAGAGATTTTGGCATAAAGGGAGCTGGTGGTTAGAGCATCTTGCTGACCTTGCATTTAAGGTAGGCTGGGCTGCAGCCCCTGCAGACAACTTCCCCAATCACGTTTACATTATCCTGGGAACTTTATGAGGTCAAAGCATTTGTGCAGTGCAGCATTATTAAATATTTTGTAAAAGTATGAATCATCAATTAGAAAATTTTTTATTTTTGAGTTGTTTTTCCAGTGTGGAAACATCTTTCTTTTCTGGTGTGCTTTTTGACCAGTGGGACAGCTGGCAGTAGTTAGGAGTGCAGTCTTTTGTGAAAAAACTACCTTGCCTATGCAGGGATCAAACCACTGTCCTTAGCTTCATTAGTCATTAACTGAGCTTAAACATATCTGTGATGGGAAATCATGCCTGACTGATGTCCTGGTGGTCTTTAAGAGAGCAGATAAATATGTGAGCCACTGAAAACCAAGGAATAAAATTTACTTAGATTTCCCAAAAGCCTTGACCAGTCTGTGCTGAAGGCTATTTTTAAAAGTTGAGTAGCTAGAATTTGGAGAGGGAAAGAGAGAATATTTTTCACAGATGGGGACCTGCAAAAAAAATTGTTCTTTGCATGGAGAAGTAAAAATAATGGGATTCTCCAAGGATGAGTGCTAAAACTGGTGTTTTGAACATTTTCATAAATAATTTGGAAGTGGGAGTACATGATAAACTCTCCAAATTTTGCAGATAACCATCATCTTTTCCAGGTAGTGAAATACTATATCTGTTCTGGTTAGGTCATTCTTCATTGTCCCATACACTTTACTCATTTCTTTGCCTGTGTCATCCAATATAGATTCTTTTTTTTTTCAATATAAATTCTTAATTTCCATTCCTAGAGAAAGTGTTGGGTGTCTCTGCCTGAAGCTTGCCCTGCCACCTTTCTCAATTCTCACAATATATCACATAGCCGCGTATTGCTTTATATTGTTCTCTAGTTTTTTCATGTGTGCATGTCTTATCTTACTTACCACCCTTTGAGGACGTAGACTGTTTTCTGGGTTTTGATGATTAGGTTCTGTAGCAGTAAGTGGCTGGTCTGGTGGTTTTCTCTATTCTTTATCTCTTTCTTTTTTTCCTTACTTTATTTCTCCTATAGGTTCTGATGTTGGTGCCTGTTTCAAGAACCCTATTTACAACTCTGCTGCAGAATCATAAGGTGTTCTATCAGATCTCCAGAGGCATGAGACTGGTCCAGTTCCAAACCCCTCACCTGAAAGGGCCTCACCTGGGACTAGAGGAGAAGGATGGTGGTGGGGTGATTGACCTCAGTGCCTTTGACCCTGGCCTGCCCAAGACCATGAGGGAGTTCCTAGAACAGGGAGAAACTGCCCTCTCTGTGGCAAGAAGGTAAAAATAAAAAATTCTACTATACCTATCAGTATGATAAGACTAGGCAAAAAAAAAGCAGAGATTTTCATTGAGAATCAATATGAAACTAATAAAAACCCACATTACGCCTCCTTTTTGATCTCTTATTTTCTTGAATAAGATCAGAGATAAATTCATTTGGCTAATAAGCATTTATTTATTTTGGCAAGACATTTGGGGTTAAGTGATTTGTCCAGGATCACACAGCTAGTACATGTCAAATATCTGGTCTGAGACCAGATTTGAACTCAGGTCCTCCTAACTGCGGAGCCAATGCTCTATCCACTGCGCCACGTAGCCGCTCCAGTTAATAAGCATTTATTAAGCACCTACTATGTGCCACACACTTTGCAAAGCATGCAAGATACAAAGAAAGGCAAAAAAAAAAAGAGCCTCAGATCTCAAGGATATTATGGTCTAATGAGGGAGGCAGCATGCAAATGGTATAAACAGTTATGTGCAAATTGGATGTCTACAGGGTAAATTGGAGATAGTCCAGAGGAAAAGCACAAAGATTAAAGAGGCCTGGGGGAGACTTCCTATAGAAAATGGGACTTTAGCTTCAACTTGAAAGAAACCAGGGAAGCCAGAAGATAGAGATGAGGAAGGAGAGAGTTCTGGGAATAGGGGACATCCAGTGAAGAAGCAGAGCTTGAAAGATGGAGTATTGTGTGTTGAGGAACAGCAAAAAGGCAGGTGTGACTGGATCACAGAGGATGTATTGGGGACTATGGGTGTAAGAAAACTGGAAAGTTGAGAGAGGGCAGGTTATAAAGGACTTTAAAAGCCAAACAGAGAACTTTATATTTGATCCTGGAGGTAATAGGGAGGTGTTGGGATTTATCAGCTAGGGTTGGGGGTGGGGAAAGAGGTGACGTTAAGAGACCTGTACTTTGGGAGGGTCACTGACAGCCAAATGGAAGAGGAATAGAGCGGGGAGAGACTTGAGGCAGGGAGACCAACCAGCAAGGTTATGCAGTAGTTCACACGAGAGGTGATGAGGGCCTGGACCAGGGTGTTGGCAGTGTCAGAGGAGAGAAAGAGGCATATGTAAGAGGTGTTGTAAAGGTAGAAAGTGACAGTGATTGGATATGGGGGAGTGGACAGGTGGACGGGTGAGTGAGAAGTCAAGGGTGACGCCTAGGTTGTAAGCTTGGGTGACTGGGAGTATGGTGGTACCCTCCACAGTTAAAGGAAGTTAGGAAGAGAGGAGAGTTTGGGGGAAAAGGTAATGAGATAAGTGTTGGACATGCTTAGTTTAAGATGTAAATAGGTTATCTAGTTTGAGATATACATTGGGCACTTAGAGATGTGAGGCCAGAGGTCAGCAGAGAGGTTAGAGATAGACAAATCTAAGAATCATCTTCATAAAGATGATAGTTGAATCCATGGGAGCATATGAGATCACCAAGTGAAACAGAATAGATATAGAAGAGAAAAGGGCCTTTTGGAGCTTTGGGGGACACTCATAGTTAATGAGTCCAGGAGAGGAGACTGAGAAGGAGCAGTCATATGGGGTAAGAGAAGAATCAAGAGAGGTCAGTATCACAAAAACCTAGAAAAAAGAGAAGATCAAGGAGAGGCTAGTTTCAGTTGAATGGTGAGCTCAGAAACTAGACTGCAGAGAGTTAACGGAGTGAGAGGAAAGGAAGTACAGGCATCTGTTGTTGATGGCTTTCTCAAGGAGTTTAGCCACAAAAAGGAGAAGAGATTATGGAGGAGTGATATGGACGGATGGATGAAATGAAGAGTTTTTTTGAGAATGGGGAAGATGGGCCATGTTTGTACATAGTGAGGGAGCAGCCAGTGGACCATGAGAGATTGGAGAGAGAGTGGGGATGGTAGAGGAGACAATTTATTTGGACAAGAAAGAATAGAATAGAATCACTTGTGCTTGTAGAGGGGTTTGCCTTATCGAGAAGATGAGCCACCTCTTCTTGTGAGATGGTTAAATAAGGAGAATGTAGCAGAAGGCATCTGTGTGATATGTAATTAGGAGGAAGGTAGAAGATCATGGTGAGTGGCCTCAGTTTCTTCAGTGAGGTAGACAAAGTTCTCAGGTAAGTGGGTGGGAAGTGGGGGAGCCATGGGAGGTTTGAGGAGAGTTAAAAAGGTTTAAGGGGCCTCTAGGTGGTGGTGGATAGAGCACCAGACCTGGAGTCAGGAGGACCTGAGTTCAAATGTGGCCTCAGACACTTAACACTCACTAGCTGTGTGACTCTGGGCAAGTCGCTTAACCCCGATTGCCTCATATAGAAAACAAAACAAAACAAAAAAAAGATTTAGAAAGGCCACTGTGTTTAAGTGGGGTAGTGAGTCAATCAGGGAGTTGTAAAAGGATTGCCTAGCAGTAGTGAGGACCCAGTTGAAATTATGTAACACAAATTTGTAGTGGATCCAGCCAACATGGTTTTGTGATTTTTTCCATATTTGTTTACCAGCATGTGAGTAGGAGAAAGGCTGTAGCTGGTGGGAGAAATCCTAGGGTGAGGCTGTGTAGGGTAAGATCTTTACTTGGATGAAGGGCAAGGGCTTGAGAGTAGAGGACGTTGTAGAATTGAACTGGTTCACTAAGGGGTCAAGAAGGAGAGTGTAGCCAGTGCTGGGCTAATGGCCAGGGAAAGAAGTGAGGGACGGAAACAGGTTGTGGTGAAAATGAAGAAGTTGTTTAGGGGTCACAGGGCAGAGGGAGAGGTGGAATGACAACAGATTGTGATTAGATAAAGGAATTTAAAAGTTCATGACTGTGGCAGTGGTACATTTGTGGGCCATGGCAAGATCAAGGGCAGGTGGTGGGGTCAAAGAGTAGGTCATGAGAGATGAATAAAATGGAGGAACTGAGAGGCTGGGTTGGGTATGGGTATTCAAGGGCATAGCAGTAGGCATGTTGAAGTGCTTTAGTAGGAGGGCAGGATCTAAAAGTCATTGAGGAAGGAAAGACAGTGTACTGGAGATTGATAAATAGCAGCCACTAGAATCTTGACTGGGTGATAAATCTGAAAGAGAACCTCAGAGAAAGAGACATTATTGAGTGATGGTGGTTGATGGAGAGCCTGGAAGCGGCTCCTCCCTGATTAGAATCAAGAAAAAGGAATTTCTTTTTTACTGATTGTTTGCTATTGAGAAACATTTATTAAATGCCAATTATGTGCAAAGCATTGCGTTCAGCTGTGGTTATGACAGCCCTGCAGCACAGAATGTGATAAGTCTAAGGGCCAACAACATGCCACGAGAAATTTGAGGTTAAAGAGATGCCTTCAGCTCTGGTACGGGTGAGGGAAGTAGGCTTTATTGAGGAGGTGGTCCCTGAGTTTAGACTAGAAGAAAAATGAATTTCACAAGCTGAAGTTGCAGGCTGGGAATCTGCATCCATTATAAGCATGGGAGATATTGAAAGCGAGGGAGAAGAGCCAGAAGGGAGCTGAGAGAGAGAGTGAAGGAAGGACAGAGAGCAGTGCATTATTTTTTTTTTCTTTTGGCTAGGCAGTGGGGTTAAGTGACTTGCCTAGGGTCACACAGCTAGTATGGGTTATGTATCTGAGGTCGGATTTGAACTCAGGGCCTCCTGAATCCGGGGCCAGTGCTCTATCCACTGCGCCACCTAGCTGCCCGGAGAGCAGTGCATTATGAGCTGGGGCTGAAACATTACTTGGACTGGGTGGTGGATAGCCTTGCCTATCAGGCGAAAGATTTTATATTGTATTCAGTTCCCATTGAGGAGCCACTTTTTTTTTTAAACTAGAGGTGTGACATGCTCTGAGTAATCAGTTATAAAAACTACTTTGGAAGAATTGTAAAGGCTAGATTCAAGAGAGGACAGCCCCGAAGTCAGGAACACTAAACAAAAGGCCGTTGCCAAAACCTAAGAGAGAAAAAATGAGATCCTGACTTAGGGTGGTTGAAATGGTAATGAAAGGAGAGCATCCAGGCAGGTCATAGGAATGGAGGTGGAATCCACACGGGATAAGGGAGAGAGAAGAGTCAGAGATGGCCAAGGTTTGGGGCATTTGGTGACTGGGAGCTAGTGATGCAGTCGACAAAAATAGAGAATTTGGGGAAAAGGTGATCAGTGTGATTGTGGAAATGTTGATTTTTAAAGTGCCAGTTGAACATCTGGGTGGAGGTGCTTGATAGACAATTGCAAAAAAGCCTAGAGCTCTGGAGAGCCATTGAGGGACGGGATAAAGGTTCAGCTGCAGAAAGGTAATAATCGAAGCCACGCAAGTAGATATCATCCAGGGAGAAACGTAGATAGAAAAGGCTAAGAACAGAATCAGGGCAGGGTGTGCAGCACCCACATTTAACGTGCGGAAGGAGGATGACAAGACAGCAAAGAATGGTCTGCCTGCACCTGGAATCCTTTCCTGCCTTTCCTGGTCCTTCTGCCGTGTGTGTGTGTGTGTGTGTGTGTGTGTGTGTGTGTGTGTGTGTGTGTGTGTCCAGTCTCATTCTTCCCTCTGGCTAAAATTTCTGAAGCTGTTAGTTTGGACCACAGTGGCTTGGTCCTTGTCTGTTTCTACAGACATAAAATTGTATCTGAGGCCTAGGGAGATTTTGCAAAGCAAGCAGAGGTAGAGCTTGGTTGCAGCATCTAGCATCTAGAGTATCTGTTTTCCTTGAAAATATCCATTTTACCATGATTTTGTTATGGTAGAGACCCCTTCACTCCCTCCTATGTAAAACCAGATCTACCTTTTACCATAGAATTTCTTCCTGGAACTCAATATGGAAAGGTTCTTTGGACCATAAGGCCCAAAGTGAAATCCACACACAAGGGGCAAGATAAGCTTTTCTGTCTCACCCTCAGCTCCTTGAGATCTGGTCTGTAAAGTACTTTGAGATCTTTAGATTTAAGGGATTAGGTTAGGGAAATGAAATGGTAGTTGATTTGAATATTTAACGTGGAAACTTCTATTGATAGATGTAACAAAATGTATTTTAAAATCAAAAAATGATTTAGGGCAGCTAGGTGGTGCAGTGGATAGAGCACTGGCCCTGGAGTCAGGAGGACCTGAGTTCAAATCCGGCCTCAGACACATAACACTCATTAGCTGTGTGACTCTGGGGCAAGTCACTTAACCCCATTTGCCTCACCAAAAAAAAAAATCAAATGATTTAATTGTGGCAAAAGGAAGTTCTCCTTCTGGAAATAGAATTCCTAATTCCTGCCTCCCTCACTGTCTTCCTTCAACCTTTCTGCTTTGTTTTCTGCAGAGCTTTGGAATCTAAGCAGCCAGTTCTGAAACGGTCAGAGGTTACTTTTCTGGCCCCCATCACCCAGCCAGACAAAGTGGTGTGTGTGGGCATGAACTATGTGGACCACTGCAAGGAACAGAACGTGCCGGTGCCGACAGAGCCCATCATTTTCAGCAAGTTTAGTAGCTCTATCGTGGGACCCTACGATGATGTTGTCCTGCCTCCTGAGAGCAAAGTAAATGTCATGCCTCTTCTACCCTGACTTCCTGCCTTTTCCCACCCACCTCACCACAAAATTCCACTCCCACATAGGTTCTAGCCCTTTGCTCCATCCCTTTGCCCAAGAATTTAACTCCATCCTTTCCTGTGCTTTCCCCCGTAGCCTGTTCATCTTGTTCACAGCCTAGATTTCAAGGGCTCTCTGGCCTTAGAACAGTGATCATTAAGCCACACGTGTAACCTGAAATTCAAGATTGTTCCTTTCTGAATTAGATCTATTATTACATTCTATTAGATTCTACTGGGCCTTTGAAGGGTGACAGAAGGCAGACTTATAGTAACCGTGATAGAACTTATTCACCTGAATATATGTTGTCCTTCAAAGTAGTCGCAGTGGGAGGCTATCTGTTTGTTCTGTTGATGCTAACTGTTGCTCAAAATGTGTTTTAGAATTCCTCCTTGGAACTTGCTTCTGTCTCAGAGTCCTGAGGCCTTTTTGGTTGATTAATGACTGTGGGTGTGGCCAGATAGGCATCAGTAGCACTGTCCTAGTGAGTCAGCCTCTTGGCCTCAGATCCCAAGTCTCCTGAGGGCTTCAGGGAATAGAAAGAGGCTTTTAACCTCACAGCACCATTACAAATATGAGCAGTTGTTTGTCATTGTTACTATTGTAACAATTGTTACAATAAAAATAGTAACTATGATGACTGTTGATTTACTTTGACTATCACTGTCTTAAAACCTTAGCCCTGAGGCATTTCCCCAGGGCTTCAGAGTATAGAAATATAGCCAATGGAAGTGTCACTACTTAAAATTCTGCTTTCCTACCTTGCAGGAGGTGGACTGGGAAGTGGAACTGGCATTTGTCATTGGAAAGAAAGGCAAACATATTAAGGTAATAGAGATGGGGCTGTATGTGAGGCTAAGCAGACCCTCCCTAACCCTGATATATGAATAGAACTGAGAGGCTAACTCTAAGTTCCTTAGTCACTATTAATCCTAATCATTCTCTTCCCCCAAAATGAGAATAGCTAGCCATAGCCTTAAGATGTTGCATGCAGGAATGTAACTAGTCTTAAGCTGTCTGTTGTCTCTGACTTAGCCTTGTTGCCTAGATGTGCTGTGGCTCGGTCTAAGGCAGAGCTTCAGTGAAGCCAGATATCAGGAGGAGTCCCTGTGCATGCACTGCTCATCTGTTATTGTGGAGAATGGGCTTTGAGATCTCATACTGAGAGGCTCGAGCAGAGTCAGTTACCTAATCTCTGGTCGGCTCAGGGTGAAGCAGCATGGCCAAGGGAATAGAGGGCTGGCCTTGACCCAGGGAGGCCTATGACCCCAGCAACTCATTAACCTCTCATTGTTCTACGTAGCTCTAAGCATCTAAAAGTTCTAAAGAAGATGAGGAGTTTCTTGTAGCATTTAAGTCACAGTCCCTGTCCTTTCCTAGTCTGGCTAGGACCTCCCCTAGCCTACCTTCATACAATCTCCCCCCCATAGGCCACAGATGCCATGGCTCATGTGGCTGGGTTCACTGTGGCACACGATGTGAGTGCTCGTGACTGGCAAATGAGGCGCAATGGGAAGCAGTGGCTGCTTGGAAAAACCTTCGACACCTTCTGCCCTCTGGGTCCTGCCTTGGTGACCAAAGATTGTGTAGCAGGTAGGACCCTGGATCTTGGACCCCTGGGCCTCTCCTTTCTCTTCCTTTTCTCTTTGTTCTAGTCTGAAGGAATGCATACTAACCAGACTGTTGTGCTATCTAGTCCAAGGCAGAAATCCAGAGAGCCTGGGTGTCAGAAGCTGGGGTCTTTGGGGGATGGTTTTGCTGGAAGTTCTCCCACTGCCCTTGTTGGCTTTCAGGATCACTCCTTCCTTGTGTCACCTGAGCGTACTGGGTTAGACACTGGACTTGGAGTTGATGGGACTTGGATTTTAATCCAATACTACCATTGATGTACTGTGTTTATTTACAGTGATGTCCCACTTCTCTGGAGGGAAGACTAGCTCACTTTTCTAGAAAACGGTCATGAGTAAGGAAGCAACCTGAATACAGCCTGTGAATAGCAAGAATCATGGCCATCACAGAGCCCATGCATTAACTGAGAGATGCATGGACCCACACTTGGCCGTCACTTAGGTTTTTTGTGGGTAATAAGGCAGTCACAGATGGGAAGCATTCGTAGCCCAAGACCTACGGAAAGTAGACAAAGAATTATAAAAAACACTGTTGTCTTGGCGAGTTTACTTTAGAAGCAAAGTGTTTTCTGTACATCCCCAATACAGAGGGCTTCACTGTTTCACAGCATAATAATTGAGTGATCAAGAAAAAGTTGAAAATAACCATTATTAACATGTTAATGAAAAGTATGTAAAAAGTTTTAGAAAGATGTCCATTAAAATGGTTAAGAAAACATAAATATGTATTTATATAAATATGTGTGTATGTGTATATATATATATATGTATTTGATCTGTCTCTGCTGCTAGTCTTGAAGGCAAAGTATAAATCCTTCCAACTTATTCACTTATTTATTTAATAATTTTTTTGCTTGCTTGCTTATTCATTCATTCATTCATTCATTCATTCATTCATTCATTCATTCATTCATTATTTGTTTGTTTGTTTGTTTTGAATCTTCTAATTTAAAAAAATCTCCAAAAAAAAAAAGAATCTCCAGTAGAACACAGTACATTGTTGTGCACACAGAAACTGTTTAGCAAATGTTGAGGACTGTGTTGCCCTGGATGTTTGTATGCCTCAGTTTCCCCATCTGTGAAATATGGCTAACTCTCTTTCTGACAGAGAAGAAAGGACCCTAAGTGTTGAAGGTGTTGTTACCATTTCAGATCCGCACAACTTGAAGATCTGTTGCCGAGTGAATGGGGAGGTAATGCAAAGCAGCAGTACTAACCAAATGGTGTTTAAGACAGAAGACCTAATAGCGTGGGTCTCACAGTAAGTAGAACTGTTTTATTTATCCCAGCTTCATGAGTAGGAGATGGCACTAACCCAAATGGTCTGCTTCCTGCCATTCTCAGACTCCCTGTCAATAAGCTTAGCACTTCTCACCCTGAACCTGAGAGGCCAGAGAAATCTAACCCTTGACTCCTGCTCTGGTACAGGTTTGTCACCCTGTATCCTGGGGACGTCTTCCTGACTGGGACCCCACCAGGTGTTGGTGTGTTTAGGAAACCGCCAGTGTTTCTCAAGGTATGTGAGCTGGGTAGTGGAGACAGCCAAAGCCAGAGTACCTCACTCTCCTTGATTTCTGGCTCATATCCTATCAAGTGCTTTCCTTATGTCCTTTACCTGTATCTTTATCTGTAATGTCCAGTCATGTGGTGACTGCTCTGTCTGTTACAGAAAGGAGATGAAGTCCAATGTGAGATTGAAGGATTGGGAACCATCATCAACAGGATGGTGTGATACCATTACTCCTGGGACTGCCAAGCTCTATTTCTTAGCCAGTCTTTGCTGATCAGCCCCACAACTCTTCTTTCTACTTCTTCTTTGCCATAAAGGCACTGAGAAGTGCATATTATAAAGAGGAAGAAAGTGATCTGTTGAATGCCTTCAGCATCATGGAACATCACCTGGGTCTAGTTGGCTACCAGCATCTTCTCAGCCAGGCAGAGCTTCCAGGCTTGTACAGAAAGGGAAGTGCCCACAATGCTGAATGCTGTGCGTCTCTCCCGGCTTTTGTTTGTTTGTTAGTTTGCAATCAGTATCAGAGGGTTTCTAATGAATAAATTTCCTTTAATCATGGCAACTCCCTGGCTTCTGCTTCTATGTTCATCTTCCTTTCCAGGGCGGGTTTGGAGTAATTCTCTCCAGAGGAAGCCAATGGGGACCTCAGACAGGGCTGGAACATTCTCTCTGCTACCAGAGGTAACCTTATTAGAGAAAAGAGGAAAAGGGAAGAAATGGAGATTTTAAAAGCAAGCCACATTAAAAAGTCTGTGGTAGATGGGGGTAGGGATGGGAGGGGGTGGGGTAAGGAGTACTTAATACTTACTCAAACCTTGAGAGGTTTTAGAAAAGATCAGATAGTCCCACCTTTGTTACAGGCTGACAAGTCTAATTACCCAGATTCAAACCTAGGGGAATTGAGAATTGAACCAAAAAACTATCAGCAAAATCCTTATTCTGAGAATCTTTACTTTGCTCCAGCATTGGGAACTGACTCTTCTTGGCATCTCTTCCCTTGCCAAAACTACCAGGCTCAATGTCAGGACTTGTCAGGACTATAGACTGTTAGCTCATTTCTCGTGTAAGATTTGGTTCTAGACCATGAAGTGCCTCACAGTGAGGGAAACCCCTCTGCACCAGGCCCTGAAGAAGCCTCAGTTTTTGAATCAAGGCTGATCTGGGCATACCATTCATTCATTCAACAAGTATGTGTTCAGCCCATGCTGGGTACAGAGATTTTAAAAGGACAGCTCCCTCTTTAGTGGGCAGCTGAGCATAAGGTATGGAGTGAAAAGAACAAGGTCCAGTTGAAGTGCCCTAAGAAGATTTGATGAGGAGAGCACCTAGAAGTTGGTAGGGTGGGAGTGGAGAACATATGGCGGAAGGCTTCATGGAGGAGATAGCTTTTGAGCTGAGCTTCAAAGCAAGATAAGGATGAGGAGGAAGTGCATTCCAAACACTGGGAAGGGCTAGTATGGGAGTGGGGAACCTGCAGCCTTGAGGCCACGTATGGCCTTGTAGGTCCTTGGCTATGGCTGTTGCCTGCAACCGAGCAGCACACTTTACAGGAGAGCGTGAAATAAAGATGTGGGCCAGGCAGGTCAGTGAAGACTGAGTGTTTATTTATCTGAGGGTCACAGCATATATAGAAAAAACCTAACATAACTTGAAAGAGTCATCCCCGTGAGACGCTCCCCAAATATCTGCTGTGTACGTGACAACATATATTTCCTGGTTAATCAGGGTTCCTAGATAGGGCAGTATATTCCCAGATCTTCCCTGGCGCCACCTGCATGGAGGAGTGGTGTATTAATCTAAGGTATCAACAATTATTTTTCTCATGGGAACAGTAACCAGGGGAGTCCCCCTTGAACTGGTTCCTCACCTCCTGTAATCTTCAAGGTCCTTCTGTTCTCAAGAGAGACAGAGCAAGGGGGGTTGGAGAGCCCACATTTCTGACTTAGGCAGCCATCAAATACAGGAAAACAACAGGTAAAACCTGGACTGGCCTGAATCTTCTGACTTGTCAGTGCTGGCCCTCAACATACGGCCTTTTGACTGAGTCCAAGTTTTACAGAACAAATCCTTTTATTAAAGGGATTTGTTCTCTGAAGTTTGAATTCAGTCAAAGGGCTATACTTGAGGACCTAGAGGGCCACAGGAGTGGCTGGGAAACTGGACAACCTCTCCCTGCCCTTAAGAGACCCTTAATTAAGGACCTAGGTTGTGCTGACCAGAAACCTGGTCAAATCCAAAGACTGATGCGAGGAGTTTTCTCACAGTTGTACATCTCAGGCAACCCATATGTCTTACCTGAAAACTGACCCCATACCGATCAGTCGTATTCCTTTGATTGTTTACCGACACTTGCGGGGGAGTGGGACACCTTTTTCTGAATTCACGATATTGTACCTGTTCACTCTTCCCCTCCCAACTTGGAAAGTCCCTAATCTTTCCTCCAATTAGAAATCAGATTATCTAATGTATTGTTTCCTTTTAATTAATTGACCTTATTTGAATAATTGTTTTAAATGTATAAAGTCTGTCTGCCCCTGTATTCAAGTTTAGACCTAAGCCGAGGAGGTCTGGTCCTACTTTGTTAGGTAATTGGCTTGCATTGCTTAATAAATCAATATGCTCAGAAGATCAAACCTATGTTTCTTTAGGCATTTCATCTTTCACCCTCCATGAAGATAAACCATCTCTCATCACCGTACCTTTGCACTGGCTATCCTATGTGCCTGGAATGCTGAGTCTCAAAGGAAGTTGGATTCTAAGAGTATACCTCACCTTCACCTCTTGGCATCTATGGATTCCTTCAAAACTCAGTTTACTTTATCTTTTTAAAAACTTTTATTTTTCCAATTAAGAATCTATTTTCCTCCCCACTACCCTTCCATCACTGGAAAAAAAAAACCCAAACAAACAAAAGTCTTGTAGAAAATATGCATACGCAATACAATGAGGAAAACAAATTTCCTCATTGGCCAGGTCCATAAAAATATATTTCATTCTGCATCCCCAGTCCACCATCTCTCTGTCAGGAAATGAGTAGCACACTTCATCACTGGTCCTCTGAAATACTGGTTGGTCACTGAGTTGATCAGAGTTCTTAAGTCTTTCAGAGTTATTTTTGCAATTATTGTATAAATTGTTCTAGTCCTGCTCACTTCATACAAGTCCTCCCAGCTGTCTTTGAAACCATCTCTTTCATCATTTCTTACTGTACGATGGTATTGCATCACATTCATCATCAGTCAGCATTGTGCTAGGTGCTGTGCTAAACGCCCAAAGATACAAAGAAAGGCAAAAACCAGTCCCTGCTTTTAAGGAGCTCACAGTTTAATAGGGTGACAACATTCAAACAGCTATGTACAAACAAGATACATACTGAATAAACTGGAGGTGATCACACACGAAGGCGCTGAGGTTAAGGAGGGTGGGGAAGGGCCTTTCTGCTTAGTTTAGAAGGTGAGGTTTCAGGAGAGGCTTGAAGGAAACCAGAGAGGCCAAGAGATGGAGATGAGGAGGGAGAACATTCCCGGCAGGGAGGAGCACAACAGTGAAAATGCTGGTAGTTAGCAGAGGGGACGTTGGGTGTGAGGAGTTGCAAGGAGGTGGGGTCCTTGGATCACAGAGTCTATGTGGAGGGGAGCAGGGAGCCAGCTGGCAAAGAGCCTCAGAAACCAAACAGAGGATTTCATATTTGATCCTGGAGGTAATAGGGAGCCATTCATACACCGTCACTCATTCAGACATTTCCCAGTTGGTGGGCACCCCCTCAGTTTTTGGTGTAAATTAGTATGGATGTGGTTTTTAAAAGATTTTCTAAGTATTTGACATTTCATTTGCTCTTCACATCAGCCATATAAGGAAGGTGATATCATTATTCCCATTTTACAGATAACGACACTAAGGCTTGGAGAGTTGAAGTCCAGGGTACACAGCTAAGTGTCTGAGGAGGGATGCCAAGTCCAACACTGTATCCACTGTTTCATGCTTACTCAAACTTAAATGTCACCTGCAGGAGGCGACTTTACTGATTCTCTCGGCTTCTAGTACCTTCCTCTCTAAGGATACCTGGAGTCTATGCAATATTTATCCCATATCCCATATACATTGTTTCCTTCATTAGAATGTAAGCTCTTTGAGAGCAGGAATTGTTTCATTTTATTTTATATTTTCACACTGTCCCAGTTCCTGGCACAGAGTGCTTGTTAAGTAGTTCAGTCTGTTCCAATTCTCTATGACCTCATTTAGGGGGATCATTGCTTGGCAGAGATACTGGTGTGGTTTGCCATTTCCTTCTCCAGCTCATTTGACAGATGGGGAAACTGAGGCAAACAGAGTGAGGGGACTTGCCCAGGATCACACAGCTGGTAAGCGTCTGAGGCTGGATTTGAACTTAGGAAGAGGAGTCTTCTTGACTGCAGGCCTGGTACTCTGTCCATTGTGCCACCTAGCTGTCCCTAGGCACTTTAAAAATACTTATTGATTGACTGATTAGAGTAGGGAGACCAATTAAGAAAGTGTTACAATAATCCAGTCAAGAAGTAATGAGGACAGGGGCAGCTAGGTGGTGCGGTGGATAGAGCACCGGCCCTGAATTCAGGAGGACCTGAGTTCAAATCCAGCTTCAGACACATAACACTTACTAGCTGTGTGACCCTGGGCAAGTCACTTAACCCCATTGCCTAGCCCCTCCCCCCAAAAAAAAACATGAAATAAAGGTTTAAAAAAAAAAAGAAGTAATGAGGACGAAAAAAGTGGTTAAGGGAGTCCATGACAGTCTTATTTGGAACAGATCTAAAAATAAGTTATCTAATCAGTCAGCCAATAAGCATTTATTAGGTGCCTCCTTGAATATGCCAAGAACTATGTTTAACTCTGGGAATACAAAGAAAGGCAAGACAGTCCCTTCTGTCAAGGTGCTCACAGTCTAATGAAGGAGACAACTTGAAGACAAGTATGTACAAACAAGATGCATGCAGGATAAATTGGAGATAATCCACAGAGGAAGGCACTAGCATAAAGGGGAAAGGCTTCCTTCAGAAGGTGGGATTTTAGCCAGGACTTTGAGGTAGCTGGTGGCACAATGGATAGAATGCTGGGCCTGGAGTCGGGGAGACCTCAGTTCAAATTTGACCTCAGACACTTACTAGTAATCTGATGCTAGACAAGCAACTTAACCTCTGTCTGCCTCAGTTTCCTCAACTGTAAAATAGGGCTATTAACAGCACCTACCTTGTGAGGATCGAATGAGATAATTTGTAAAAAGCCTGACACATAGTAGGTACTACATAAATGCTTACTCCATTCCCTTCCCTTCCAGGAAACCAGACTTCCATGTAATTTCCACCTATTGGCCCTCAACTACTCTCTGGGGCCAAGCAGTACAAGTCCAGTCTGTCTTCTTCATGACAGCCATTCAAATATTTGAAAAGCTGCCGACCCACAAGCCCCATCCAAAGCGGCCAGGTACAGGCTGTATTCAGCACTGGCTCTGCCCAGCCATCCCGGTGGACAGAATAGCAGACGGATTATTCTTCATTGGTATAGCACTTTAGGAGTACATAGACTTTACCTTCTCATTTAGTCCTTACAATGGTCCTGGGATAGGCACAGACCAGGTCCTAATCATAGGCCATTGCTTAAGTTAAATGGCCTAAGCCCATTGTGCTGGGAAAAGTGCCCCAAAGTTAAG